CATGCATCGGCATGCACCTACATGATTTTGCATCTTTGCATCAAATATACATTATCATGAACGATAAAAGCTTTAATTTTCCCCTTTCACGAGGGCTTTTTTTCTTGAAATCACGTCTTTTTCATTGAATTTTTCTCTTCTCACGATGACATTCAAGATAGTTGTATTCAGCTACATTTTACAGATTTTTTGGGAAATATGAAATTAAAATACAACAAGACGTCCCCAGCAAAAGGGAGCAATCATCCTCAGATTCAATATTTTCAAAACAAAAATTGTCTCACTTGAGACAATCTCATTTCATGCGAAGATTTATCTCACTTGAGATTGTTTTTCTTAAAACATAAAATTTTATCTCGCTTGAGATAGTTTCACTCGAAACAGAAGATATTTCATTTCACTTAAGATTGTTTTTCTTAAAACAAGGCTTGTCTAGCTTGAGATAGTTTTTTACTCGAAACAAGACAATTCAGTTCATTACATATTGTTTTTCTTAAAACAATATTCATCTCGCTTGGGATTATTTTTTTACTCGAAACAAGACTGTTCATTTCACTACAGATTGTTTTTCTTAAAACAAGATTCATCTCGCATGAGATAGTTTTTACTCGAAACAAGACATTTCATTTCACTACATATTGTTTTTCTTAAACAAAAGATTTTATCTTACTTGAGATAGTTGCATTCGAAACAGGAGATTTTATCTCGCTTCAGATAGTTTCACTCGAAACAGAATTTTTTATCTCGCTTGAGATAGTTCCACTCGAAACAAAAGATTTTATCTCGCTTGAGATAGTTTCACTCGAAACAGAAGATTTTATCTCGCTTGAGATAGTTTCACTCAAAACAGAATGTTTTATCTTGCTTGAGATAGTTTCACTTCAAACAGAAGATTTATCTAACTTGAGATTGTTTTTCTTAAAACAAGCCACGCCTCACTTGAGGGATTAACATTTCCTTTTCTTGATTCACAACACTTCGAATCAGCTTAAGTCCTTCCGGGCCTTCAGCAAGACTTTCGAGCATGATGCTTAAATCCTTCGGGTCATCTATAAGTCATTCGAGCAAGATGATAAGTCATTTGGGCCATCCATAAGACCTTTGAAAATGATGTTTTCAACATTTCCTTTGCTATATTCATAAAACTTCGAATCAGTGACGCCTCACTCGAGGGACCAACATTTCTAGTAGAGAATTCAGGAGAAGAACTTGTTCGACCTATTGCTCGATTCACAACACTTCAAATCAGTAATGCCTCACTCGAGGGATCAATATTTCCAATGAAAAGATCATGATGAGAAGAACCCGTAGCTTGAAGAACTAGAGATGGAGACTCAGCCAAGAGAACGAATCAAAGATGACATCATCTGCAGTAGTGACTCGACGATTTCACAAAAAGAGATGAATTGACATTCCCAGTGAAGAGTTCACAGTTGACAAGAAGAGACCAAGAAGAAAAATGGTGCTTTATTATCTTTGTTTCATTCTCGTTTCATAGTAATAAGCAAAGAGGGACAGCTGTAAGCACCATTTTTCTATTTCAACAGACCCAAACCCTTTTAACAAGCCCAAACCAATTAAAACCCAACCCTTTTGAATACAAACCAAATAGCCCCAAACACGAACAAACCCGACCCAGAGCCCAAGAAAATAACCCGACCCGTAACCCAAATCCTAAGTTTAACCTAGCCCTAGCCACCCACTTCACCAATCAGCCCCTTTCGATCCTCTGTCCCAATCCCAACTAAGCCCTGCATCACGCCACTTCTCAGATTCAATACTCCACGCCACCAGCTGCTCCACTCCATCAATAGCAAACAGCAACTAAAACAAGACAAAAGAATTATCATTCCATTTTCCTTGTAATGGGTATAAAACCCAAGCAAAAATCATTGTAAAAGGGCTGGATTTTTCGAAAAAATATTGTAATTTTTTGAAGCAATAAACAAAGCATTCAAAGTTTTACTCTTTCTGTTTTTTTTTTGAACAACTTTTCTTCGTCTTTTTTTGTTATGATTTACTGTTTAGGTTCGAAAAAAGGGAAACCTTCCACTTAGTTTTCTAAATAAAACAAACCTTTAGCTTCAAAAAAAGCTATAAAATAAAACAAACCTTTAGCTTCAAAAAAAGATATGTATAGCGTGTAGTTATTTTTATATGTTTCGAATAACCAAATAACCACAATAATCAGCCAACCATTTTTCAGTAGCAAAAACGATAAAAATCTAAAAGAGTGGATCGGGGCTTACCCTTCATTGGAGGTTGTCGGAAAGTGAGAAAATCGAAAGGTCACCGAACATTTTCGTGGCGATAGACGCCAGATCTCGCAAAATCACGGCCTGATTCGAGATTCTTACATCGAGACGGACCTCCTCGTTAAATTTGGTGGCCAACAGCCACCAGAGGCGACGACTGTGACGACGGCCTGCGACGACCGATTTTCTAGAGAGAGGCTTTTAAAAAAACGAAAAATGAAAATTATAAAAATGAAAAAATTGTATTTATAAAGCATTTTCAGGGGAAATTGCATTTTAGGTCCCCCTAAACTTTGTCGTGTTTTTGCAAAATAGTCAATGTCATAGACCGTTTTCATAATGTTCCCATTTACATGTATGCTTTGTATTTTTTTGATAAAATTGCATTCCAAGTCCCCCTATGTTTGATGTGTTTTTGCATTTTGGTCACTAGACCTTTCTTTTCTAATTTATTTCAATTTTATCATTCTGTTTTGTTTTATTTTAATTTAGTCATTATTTGTTTCTGTTTTAGCTACTATTATTTTAATTTTTCCATTTTGGTCACTATTTATTTTTTATTTAACTACTAACTTTTATTTTCTTGCATTTTAGACACTATTTTTTTATTTTATGCAATTAGGTCCTTGTATTTATGTTTATTTTATTTTTTAAAATTAGGTTTATAAAATATTTCAATATTTCATAGTTTAAACTCTTAGCTTTAGTTTTAAATTAGATTAACATTCGAATCAAGCTTAGAAATTAGGATGACACTGTAGTTCAATTAGGGAGCAATTTGAATCGAGTTTTTGTATAAGATGCTCGATTACTCGAATCAATTGTTCTAATTTTAAAATTTATTAATAATTAATATTTTCTAAAAAACTTTAAGTTTAATAATTTAGATAATAATTAGGTTTTTAATTAGTCCTCAACTTTTGATTTTATCAATTTAGGAACTTGTGCTTTTAAATATTTTATAAATCGATATTTTTAGATCTCAACTTTTTTTCCCCGAATTTCCATTAGAGTTTAATATTGACAAGATTAAATAGGTTAAATAGAGCTTCCACTTTTAGCTAGATTTCAATGTCGTCCCCTTAATTTAAGGAATAATCTGAGTCGGCTCTCGCGTAAATGCTCAAGGGACCACCTTGGTTATTCGATTCAATAATCAGTTTAAAAATCAAATAGGGTTAATATTAGAACCTACACATCTAGGTTTGTGCCTTTAGGCCCTTTAACTTTCATAATTTGACACTTTAAGCTAGAAAAAAAAACTTACTTTACTTTTAGTTTAATTAGGATAAATAAAATTTGTTTGATCGTATTTTATTTTTAAACTCTAAGGCAATGTTCACTTATTAGGGAATTAATAGTATATCTCCCGCAATCATGCTCAGGGTTGACTATTGGTGATTCCCGAAATAAGTCGACATCCTTTTTAAAATTACATCATGATTTTCTAAAAATGATACAATATTCAGTTATCGAGCTCAATAGTTGATCTCCTGCGTTTATGCTAGGGGGCAAATGCTATTGGCTTTAATAAACGAATACCATTTTCAACTCTTTGCATCCATAATTATTTTCAAATTAAATAAAGATCGAACTCAAAATTTCTAATTTTAAATATAGGGTAACCAACTAGGTACCAATTTTTGAGTGCTTGTGGGGGTGCTAATTCTTCCTCACGCGTAATTGACTATCGAACCTGATTTATGGATTTTCGCAGACCTTAAAATTTGGTATTTTTATAAAAATAAAATGTTTTATTAAAATCATCTGGCTTTTATGGTGTCCCAATCGCACCTTCAATGATTGTTGGCAACTCCTCACATTTCGAAAACTCCTTTTCAAAAGAGAACCCCCGAGTCATTATCGGTCTCAGCCCACCCGAGCAAAAAACGGTGTCGACAATGGGGATAAAATTTGGTAGGAAAAAAATAAATGTGACGATTTAAGACTAGTGAAGATGCACTCCAATCTAATAATACTTTTAGTTAAATATTTTTATGGGATAGGATCCTGTTACACGATGTAAAACTAAAATAGTTTTACACAGATTTAGTACCTTTTGATGGGTGAAAATAGATGGCTGAGATCAATAGTAGCAAATAAGAATGAATTTACTGTAAAAAATTAAGGAGTCAATCCCAACCATCTATTTTCATTCATCCAACCGTCCTAAATCTGTATAAAACTAAGAGTTTTACACTGTGTAAATGGATCCTAACCCTATATATATAATTAATATAAGATTTAAATTGAAAATTAGTTTAAGTTCTTTTATATTTATAAACTAAACTCTAATTAAATATATATTATTGAATAATATTTTTATATTTATATATATTTTTAATCGAATAAATAGCTATACTATAATTGGTCATCACGTTTCACAGGCATTAAAGAAACTCGATTATATTGGTTACTAGGATTGCGTTGCCAGCAAGGGTTCAAGAAAAGAACAGAATGATGAAGATACTAATTTCCAGCTTTCAATCGAATAAACAGCTATACTACAATGAGGGATTGTTCGCTACAAATAATCTTACAAATCGAAAAGGAAGATGATAAAAGAGAACACCCTATTAGAACTCCATTTAAAGAAACTATGCCTTATGTACAATTACTGTTTTCGGATTGTTCATCTTGTTTTTATTCCCCCAAAATATTCACACAGAATGTAATTCAAGTTCCTCACATCAGTGAAACAGACACATTCCATAGGGAACATGAAAAATATCACCAGTAGCATACCTCAAAAGCACCAGAGAAACTCCAGCGCAGTTGATTTTTCTTTAGCCAAGGGATGACAATAGATATCAGAGGCATTGATGGCCTGTACTTTGCAATCAATCTGAACTAGTACAAAACCGTTTTAAGTTACAACTAGCTATCGGTTGGAAAATAAAGAAGTATAAGCACAATGTTAGCATGCCATGCACGAAGATCAATATGCAACGACATTGATATTGGCTCTTCCTCACACACATAAAGAAGGGGACACAAAATAACAAATGTAACACTGCAGCCCTCCCGGATGAAGTGAGGCAAATAATTGCAGAGGCTTTGACCATGGTAGTTGTGCGTACCTTTGGTACGTTTTCTTCCTACGGAAGGCAATTTGTAACACCCCAATTTAGGGGCTAAATTTTAGAAATTATAAAGTGGTTGATTTAATTGGTATTTTTTGAAAAAATTGGGAATTAAATTGTAAAATCGTAAAGTTGGCAGACCATTTTAAGAATTGCAGGAAGTTCAGTGGCTAAACTCATGATTTGACCATTTTTCTTTTGGGATGAATTATAACACCCATTTCCTGTATATTCTACAGAAAAAAATACTCCATTTTCCTCCCCCGGTCAACCCACTTCCAACTCTGATCTACTCGTCGTTCGACCTCCGATTGACGAACCGAAACCACCATCGTGTTCATTGTCGATCGAAGAACCAAACCCCTCAAACATTTCGTTATGAATCGTCGTCGTTCGTCGTTAATTTCAGTTGGAAGTATCGTCGGTTTTAACTCAATTTCAGTTGGTTTTTCGTCGATTCACGACGATCCAGTCATCCGTTTTCGACACCTCCTGCATCATCTTGTTCCTTGCATTGTTCTAAGTCCACCGGTGTTCTCCGTTTCTTGGTCGTCGCCGGCGCGTGGAGGGGTGAGACTGTCAAAGTTTTCAATGTTTCGGAATCGACCTCTCCGCCGTTCAAAATTGTGAACCGAGATTGGTAAGTGTCTCAAAATGCCTTAAAATAATTTTTAGGAATTTTTTCGAGAATTTTCTGACACCGTATTACTGTTCACGCTCCGCACACGCCACCCCCGAGAGTGGGCATCGTCTGGGTGTTAATTTTGTAATTAATTTCTGTTTGGGTGCTATTTGTATAAAATTTGGGTATTAGTTTCGTAAATATTTGAAAAAGGTGGATAATTTTGTAATTAATTTAGGTTAGGGTGATATTTGTGTAAAATGGTCGACTATTGACCGTTGACCGGCGTTGACCACTGTTGACCAGAACTTTGACCGGCGTTGAATGGGCATTAAACGACCTTTGACTTTGATCGAGTATATCTATCATGATGTTTATCGACGTGACCCGAAGGCCTCGAAATTGCCAGTAAAACATGTTTACTTTGATTTTGATCGAAAATTCAAATTTTTCGAAAAGTCATATTTTATGTTTTCGACGTTCCGAATCTGTTTTTGGGTCTGTTTTGCCAAACTCGAACTCGGTAAGCTATTTTTAACTAATTTATCACCTGATTCGATATGTTTTTTATGTTATATTTTTTATATGCATCTGAGGAATTATTGGAAGTTGATTTCAAGATCGATGACGTTCAAATGAAATTTAATGTTCGATCAGTATGGCACGAAAATCAAGGTAATACTTTACTACCTCTTTATGATTTATGGAATATGTTGATATTGGTAAATGTATGAATAAGATAATGTTGGTCACTTTTGTGGAGTTGAATAATTTATACACTCGATATGAATGTGGTAGAAATTTTGTAACTGAATACGGATCGAATGACTAATATAAGAGATTGAGGAATTGTTAGAATTAAATTACAAGTTTTTGATTAGTGATAAAGAAATCAGCCATGGATTTGTAACTTATATTTTATATCATCAAAGGTTAAATGTTAAAGGTATTTGGATGGGAAATTATGATAATACTTCGGTAGGATAAAATTATGAAAATACCCTTATGTTGTAGGATGACAAGAATTGTCCCTGGAAGTTGGTTAATAACTTTGAAAAGACATATTGATCCGATATAATTACAGATGTGCATAAGAAATGATAGTTTTTTTTAGAAAATTTGGATAATTGGTTTTTAACGCCAAAAAGGGTTTGCGCAAGATGCTAGAAGTTTGTTAAGGAATAATTTCAAGATCAAAGAATGTTTGGGAAATCAATTGACCATATGATCATTAAATTATAATTATTTTCGTTAAGCGAAATTATCTGGTTAGGAAATTATAAAAATGCCCCTGAGAGGTAAAATAGTCTGAGTTGACCCTAAATGAGAAAGTACTTTGAGGATTTGTACTTAACTCGATTAAGTACGAATTTGATTGTTAAGATCCTGACTTAGTGCAAAAAATTCTTGATATTCCGTTGGTAAAAATCTGAGAAGGCACTTGACCCGAAAATATCCGAGTTACGAGTAAATACCTGAAGAACAATTTATCAGGGTGCTCTTTTATCAGAATTTTTCGAAGGGACTGAAATAGATGATAAATTGGAATTAAATAATAAGACAGGATGGAAGGAAATGATTGAAATACATCGGATCTGTAGAATGACCAGAATACCCCTATAATAGAAATAACCCATGAATATCACCAAGCTTAGGAATGATTGGATATCCATGAGCTCTGAAATGAATGAAATAAAACTGAACACCAAAATTACCAAAATAACCTTATGGCCTAAACTAAGTAAATGTCTTGGATTAATTAAGGAATCCAAATAAGCATAGGTGTTGGACTATCTTTAAAAATAATGGAACACAATTTAAGTGAGTAGATCAACCCTAAAGCTATGTCAATACCTGAATGAAATAGATATTACTGGAATGCGTATTCGTCTTCTCAAGTTTGGCTCGATGGTAAATTTTGGAAGTATTCAGCTCAACTCAACTCTAAATCTCATTCAATACTAAGATTTGGACGTTTGTTCGACAAATCAACCACAAAGACCAAATTGAATGGAACAGAAGTACAACATGTATCTGAAATTCAGGAACGTTTGAATTACTCTGGAAAATCCCGAAGTAACTGGAATGGACTTGAATGCTAAATAAATTAAGTAACCTCAAGGACTGAGGATTAAATAAGTGATTTGAATGGGTCTAGAAATGTTAATGAACATACATGATGTAATGTTCTTATAGAACATGTATTACAAATCAAGCACGTTAGCATTTCATGATATCGTGGAAGCATGGAAATGTAATAAAGAGCATTGAAAAATCTGTTAGTTTCCTTAAGATTTATTCAGCGATGATTCCAAAGATTATATATGGACTAGAATTTGTGGTATTAAAGTGTAAATACCCTGTAAGGACAATGAATTGACCAGTCGATAAGCATTAATTCTGGGAGATATTCATCTGAAGTTGTTTGATAATGAAATCAATCCACATATACTGTAAATGTCATGAATCTTCATTTCTTCCTTATCAACCCAAGTCATATTCTGAATAATTGATGATTCTATCAATTATTAAACTCTTCCTTTAGTGATTCTAAATTCCGACATTCTATCAGTATATTGAGGATCTGTGTGTTTCTGTCTGTTAAGATTATCATGTACCTCTAAATAATATCCATAAACTCTGGTGTGTTTCATAATTACATAAATATTTTATCTGATTTTCGACTTGAATTCTGTTATGATACATTACCAGAATTATGTTCTGATTTCTGATCTGGATTCTGTTATGATATCTGATCTGAATTCTTTTTTGATTTCTGATATCTCCGTTTACCGACGGAGAAATGTTTTTTCTAGGGGTTTATTGTTGGAGGAAGATTATCTGCAGACTCCTCGGCTTTGTGCTCAGGGTCTAAATGGCATGTGCGGTTGGGTGTATGGTTCCGGGGAATCTACACATTTTTGATGTGAACGGATGGGGGTATATATATGTGTTTTAAAAGAATCTGTATTTTTTTACAGGTTTTATGGGAACACACTAGATAACCTATTCCGATCTCTTGAACTCAGTCATTAGAAATATTTATCTGAACTGAAAGCTCATTGTCCGTTACCATCTGAAATATCAGTAGGATCTCCGATCAACATAAAAATCTGTAGATGTTCGGAAACAATAAAAAAACATATGTTTATCTGTATCTGCACGTTCTTCAGCATCATCTGGTAGTTCTGTATTACTGAGCTTTCCGAAGCTCACTCTATTACTCTACATTGTAGGTTAAAAGAATTGTACCAGTGCAACTATCATCATCAGTATGAGAGTTCTTCCGGCGTTACTTCCAGAGAATGGTACATGTGATTAGAGGGCATGTGATTGTATTTTGATTTATATACGAGTCTGAAAATATGTTTTATTTCTGCATACTGATAAATCATTTTATAAGTTACATGTTTTAATAAAAGTTTTAAATTTTCCGCCATTTTTACAGTGGGTCGTTCCGGTAGCCCTAATGTGACACTCCAGACTGGATCGAGTTATCCTCATCGGTCTGAGGGGGTTACACATTTAATCAGAAATATGCCAGGTCAAGAATTTAAAATAATGTACTAAAAAGGTTACAGGAAGTACTAATTATGGTAGAAAAAAATAAACTATATAACACGAATTAGAAATTATAACACAAATCTGACAAGTTGAAATAAAGCTTTGGCTGTTTTCCTCTTTTCTTTTTGCTCAATAACATTGAGCACATATAAAGCCCATGTTTAGTACAATCATAAGCCTTAGGCTCATAGAAATGAAAATTCAAACCCTTTGACCCTTGTATATACCAAAGAGAAACCAATAAACTGAGATTGGTAAATAGATTGAACATTCTTGTATATAACAAAGAGAAACAAACAAGCTTCCTGATCAAGGGTAATCTGAACTCATCTCTGCACAAAATTTTCCAACAGTAGAGACGGTCTCCACAGGGTATAGTCCACGCAGGATAAAAGTGACAACATAATTAAGAGATTCCGTTAAACTTGACACAAAGGTAACAGAAATGAGACAAAAAGCATAGTATAAGTGAAGGGAAATTGACCATCCAACACAGCATTGGCAACATCAGTTGCTTCAGCACGAGTAGGTCTTAGGTTGCCTGTCATACTGTCCACGACACAAGTGACCACTATTGGCTTTCCCATCATGTTGCACTTGTAAATAGCAGCTTATTGAAATAGAAACACCTGTAAATTCCAAATGGAAGAACAATAACAGAAATTAGTTAGAGGAGCTGGTGTGGTCCCATAAATTAAAAGAATAGAAGCTCCATTATCATGAAGAATGCCTGCATAACTCAGAGGGCAGTTCTATGAAAAAAATCCACTTCAGATGCAGCAATGCACCATTTTGC